TCTTGTTTCTAGTTTTTTGGGTTTTTTTATTGTTATTTTTGTTTTTTGCTTTTTTTTTAATCAGTACTGGACTTTGGGTTTCTGGTTAGTGTTTTCTAAAATGCAATTTTTTTTCATCGTTTTTCATTTTGGCCATGGTAGGTTCTATTTTACTAAGACTTGTGAGGTTTTTGTTTGTCCCCTTGTTATCGTCTGCCTCCTTGTTTGCGTGAAAAAAATGCAGCCATTTTTTTATTATAGTAATTTAATTATTAACTTAAAATTGTCAATACGAAGGAATCAATTAAACTGCGTATAGTATTCAACAGAGTTATACTCGGTACACGCGCCTATTCCAAATCAGGAGACTGTAATGCAGCGGTTGTCGTTGGTTGCTGTCTCTAGTATTTGTTTTTCGTTAATTTTTTTTGGTCATAAATCAGACTGTTAGTTTTTTTATTTGAATTGTTTTACATTTTGTCATGACTGAGCATTTTATCGCCCACTGTATCGGGTTTGCGTGTTGTTGAAGGCTGTATGGTAACCTATAGTCTACATGCTTTATTTGGACTTTTTGACTTTTTGATTTGAGCGTTACTGATGGGTCTTTTGAAGACGTCTTATCAACAAAATTTTAATCCTGTCTATGATGAGTTTATTTGCATCCACGTAATGGACGTAAGTTATGTCATTGGCAATCAAACCTCATCTCCTTATTTCATATACTGTCAAACCTGATTAAGAGACCATCTGTATTACAAGCAAACACCTGTGTTATAAATCCATTAATTTTAGGTACATTGTACCTCTGTAGTAGCATTTCAAATATTTTGAACCTGTATTAAAAGACCACCTGTCTTATGAGACCACGTTTTTGCTCTCCTTTGAGTGGTCTCTTAAAACAGGTTTCACTGTAGTATAAAATAGAGTCAGTAACTAAGTCAAAGTTCACATTGACTTCATGTTTGTAAGGACATCAATGGAAGTTAATTATTAACGTTAATTTCCTTCAGGTAAATAAGATAATGTGCATATATAGCACTAAGGGACACTTTAACAGATCATGAATACATTTTTGTTTGATTAAATGATGTATGATATATAGTCATCATAGGTGATATCATTAACGAGTTATGAGATAAATCACGAGATCGATTAGCTGAATGAACCTTATATCAAATAAGAGCGTGTCGACCTGCCCTGTCAGTGGACTTTCCTTCACTACCGGACGAGTATGCATTCTATCAAATAAGAACGTGTCGACATGCCCTGTCAGTGGACTTTCCTTCACTACCTGGCGAGTAGGCATTCTATCAAATAAGAACGTGTCGACCTGCCCTGTCGGTTGACTTTGCTTCACTATCAACCAAGTGGACATTATATCAAATCATAACGTGTCGACCTGTCCTGTCGGTAGACTTGCTTCACTACCCACCGAGAGGACATTATATCAAATAAAAACGTGCCGACCTGCCCTGTCGGTGGACTTGGCTTCACTACTGACCGTGTGGACATTATATGAAATAAGAACGTGTCGACCTGCCTTGTCAGTGGACTTAGCTTCACCACCGGCCGAGTGGACATTATATTAAATAAGAACGTGTCGACCTGCCCTGTCGGTGGACGGCTTCACTACCGGTCGAGTAAACATTATATCAAATAAAAACGTGTCGACCTGCCCTGACGGTGTACTTGGCTTCACTACCGGCCTAATTAACATTATATCAAATAAGAACGTGTCGGCCTGCCCTGTCCGTGGACTTGGCTTCACCACCGGCCGAGTGGATATTATATCAGATAAGAACGTGTCGACCTGCCCTGTCGGTGTACTTGACTTCACTACCGGCCTAATGAACATTATATCAAATAAGAACGTGTCGGCCTGCCCTGTCGGTGTTCTTGGCTTCACTACCGGCCTAATGAACATTATTTCAAATAAGAACGTGTCGGCCTGCCCTGTCGGTGTATTTGGCTTCACTACCGGCCTAATGAACATAATATCAAATAAGAACGTGTCGACCTGTCCTGTCGGTGGACTTGAGTTCACCACCGGCCGAGTGGACATTCTATCAAATAAGAACGTGTCGACCTGCCCTGTCGGTGAACTTGGCTTCACCACCGGCCGAATGGACATTCTATCAAATGAGAACATGTCGACCTGCCCTGTCGGTAGACTTGGTTTCACCACCGGCCGAGTGGACATTATATCAAATACGAACGTGTCGACCTGCCCTGTCGGTGGACTTGGCTTCACCACTGACCGAGTAGATATTATATCAAATAAGAACGTGTCGGCCTGCCCTGTCAGGTGTACATACGTTGATTCACCCACGACCGAGTGGACATTCTATCAAATAAGATCGTGTCGACCTGCCCTGTCGGTGGACTTGGCTTCACCACTGACCGAGTAGATATTATATCAAATAAGAACATGTCGACCTGCCCTGTCAGTGAATTTGGCTTCACTACCGGTCGAGTAAACATTATATCAAATAAGAACGTGTCGGCCTGCCCTGTCAGGTGTACATACTTGGATTCACTACCGACCGAGTGGACATTCTATCAAATAAGAACGTGTCGACCTGCCATGTCAGTTTACTTGTCTTCACTACCGGCTTTTAGTGCTAGACATTACAAAATTTAAATTCAGGAATTATCAATTTACAAGAAAAAGAATTTAGCCATATGCTTTTCAATGATATAATGCTTGTTTTTTTTATTTTAATTACTTTGGGGTTCTTGTGGCGAAATTGCTTTCGGATTTCCGACATTGCGTTTTTAATCGTATCACTTCGGAAATCCTCTAGTCTGAGTGCCTTTTAAAGTAGCTGGAAAGATGATTAGTATTAAACCATTTTGCCTTTTAAAAAGTCTATATAAGAGACAGCTATACTTAATTCGATGAAAAAATACAACATCAGCGTGCAAAATATGAAGGTAATATTTCAGAGTTAGGGAGCTACTATTTAATTTTATGGGGGGTTATGATGAAAAATTTTGTCCTGCATTTTTTTGTTGTTGTAATCTTTGTCCTGCATTTTTAATTTTCACTCTATTCGGTCCTGCCTTTTTTTATTAGTTTATCCAGACATTTTTTACATAGATTGTCATCCTGTCTTTTTTTTCTGCCAAGTTGCTCATCCTGCTTTTTTTTTTAACTCAAAACTCCTGTCCTGCCTTTTTTTCAAATTTCATCTTTTAAGAAAATTACACATTACAGAAACAATAATGTACAGCGTCGAATATTTTGTACTCCCTGTGGCTTTGTACTCCGTGTGTGTATAAGAAACTATGTACACATATCAAATACTAAGTCAGGACTTCACGTGTACATTGTGCAGAACACACGTGGTGGTTCATTTAAAAATCTCTTTCCGCGGTGATTTTTCACAGTGAATGGTAATGATTGTCTGTGATTCACTCTGAAATATCTCTCTACGTTTTATTTGTAATACATTTTGTACATGTATATGATAGTATTAATACGATCGTTAATCCGAGAGTTATCACCGCCAATCATCAGAAATCACCATGTTACAGAGTAAATTCCTTAACACCAACAAGAGGAATGTTTTATTGATACACCTTGTGGGCACTGTATTAAAGATTGACTTTTGGGGGGAAAACGTATACAACTTATTAAACACATATTAAACTACATGAATTAGCATTTCGTATCCTGAATTAAAAGTGTTTAAAAAAATGACCTACCTCGAATTAGAAAAGGGAGGGGTTAAATCTTTTAAAAACTCTTTTGTAGTCGTCGTATGTCGTATCTTAATGTTTTTCGTTTTTTGGAGAATTGTATATTATTAACAGATATTTTTTCTGTTTAATATATAACTTTTATAGGCCTTGAAAAATCGTATAGACATTTGTGTATTGTTGAAAAACTATATGGTGCCTTTACGACATTGTCTTTTGATTACTTTTGAAACATACACTGCTGACAGTTGGTTTAAATAGACATACATGTACCATAATGCCATTGAAATGAATTATAAAGTGCATTTATTGTCGTCAAAATGTCTTAGTCTTCCGAAATCTCAGGATAAAAAATTTCAAAATATGGTATGCCTTACAGTTCATATACAAATATAAAATTTGAACTAGATTTGTAATAAAAGTACAAATGGTAAAACTATAAACACTGGACACTTTTAATTTGCAAAACACTCATTTGCAAATCCGCCGCCGCCTCTCCTTAGACCTACAGTGTCGTGTAAATAACCAAAATGTGCGGAATTACATGGGATTCAATAATTTCATTGCTTTTCTGCTGTTATTATTATATATATTTTGTAATTTGATTTAGAAAAACATGGGATTTTCAATATCCCATGGGATAAGGCAAATCCCATGGGATTGACCATTATCCCATGGGATTTTGGTTAAATCCCATAGGATTTTTTTGGGTCCCATGGGATAATTGTAGTCCCATGGGATATTTGTTGTCCCATGGGACAAAAAAAATCCCATGGGACTATAATTATCCCATGGGATTTTTAATATCCCATGGGACAAAATAAAATCCTATGGAATTCAAATTATAAATATACAGTAATGTGTATGTTACAATGAATTCTGTTTGGTAGTAAAAAGTTTATAATATATATATGAGTGTATTTTGGTTTTTTTCATTTTGTCACAAACATGTTTTTAATTTGTTTATATGACAATAAAGATTATTATTATTTTGGAAATATAATAATATTTAAAGTCAAAAAATAAAATCCTTTAACTGAAATAAAATGATGACGTCTTAATAAAAGAAAAAAATATTGATTTGAAATCTTTGTCTTCTTTGTTTTATTATGAAAAATAGAACTGAAAAAAATATTTCATATTCGGACTGAATAAATTGACAAAACACAGTTAATAGTTTACTCTTTCCATGAGGTAAAGTTTTCTTTGTTATAGTTCCATTGCAATACATGAATATGCAAACGATTTGAATCTTATTTCTTTGTGGTATTCATAATATTACATTTATATTTGTAAATTTATAAACTAAACACTTTTCCTGTTAAGTTTTAGTTTTCTTGTTTCAGCTTGCTATGAACAATTATTCAGTCCACTATATAAGAGTAAAGTAAATAAATTATTTCATCCACTAGAATATTCCTACAATTCTTAGACATAACATTTTTGCAATCTGTTCTTCAAAAATCTTCCTCCGTACATCTTTATTGGATGGAGCGATTTAAATGAGTGGACAAAGCAAGTTCATTTGGACAACAAAATACTAAATATATTTTTTCATTCCTCCCTTCTTTCAATTGATAATTACGTCGTTGCATTTACATGATTAAGTTCTTGAGCATCTATGATCATGATGATATGACTCCTTGTTGTTTATAGTCATTATGTTGAAATTTCCTCTTTCTTATGTAGGAAAAAAAACACATTCCATTTCAAATTAATAAAAAAGTCACACTATGTAGAAAAATATCAACTTTAAGTTTGCTGTTCAGTATGGACCTGTTGAATGATGATCATGAAAACCAAGATGTCTGACCTACAAATACACAAAACTCAAAAATTATAAATGAAGAGAAATACAGCAATAAAATGGCTACTTTATCATGTTTATGTACATTTTGATAAAAATTTAATTTGAATATTTAAAATTGTAAAAACTCTTATTTCAGTGCTTTGTGTCTATGGTTTTCATATTAGTTGTTTTTTGTGCCTTGTTGCAGTCTTTTGAGTTAAGCCAATTGCAACAAATGTTTACAGTTTGTTCAAATGTTGTGCTGTTATTAAAACCACTGTCCCAGGTTAGGGGTGGGTTGGGTGCTCACAAAATATTTATTTTATTAGTTGATATTTGCTTTGAATTAGCTGTCAGTAACTGTGAGTACTAATAGATCTGTATGTTGAGTCTTTTTTGTTAAAGGGAAAGAATAAATTTCCAGCCACATCCGGTCTGTGTTTTTGGTAGCTGTTTTTCTGCTTTGTTGCATTCTAATGAGTTAATAAAATTGAGAATGAAAACGGGAATGTATCAAAATAACCTGACCCAAGAGCAGAAAAAAACCCTTTTCTACTGATTTTATCGTTTTTATGTTGAACTGACACTTACACCACTGTCCTTAATTAGAGGAGGATTTGGCGCCAGCAAACATGTTAAACCATGCCACATTTTGTAAGTGTCTGTCCCAAGTCAGGGGTCTATTATTCAGTGGTTGTCAATTGTTGCTATATATCATATTTGTTTTTTGTTTATTGTTTTGTGCAAAAATCAGGCACTTAGCTTTCACCTTTGTGGTGTTTCCCTAAAGCATGTTTAGCATGGATAGACACCATGCCCTTTTTAAATGACGCCATGCCCTTATTGAATTGTTTTACATTTGTTATTTCATGGCCTTTTATGGATTACTATGCAGTATAGTGTTTGCTCATTGTCGAAGGCTGTACAGTGAACTCATTTTGTTAAATTTAATGGCATTTGATCTCTATTGGAGAAAAGTCTCATTGGCAATCGTACCGCTTCTTATTTTTATATCAACCCTGCCATATTTTGCCTGTCATTATTTACAGGTCATCATTGGCCTCTAATAAGTAATTGCATTGCTTACATCCACTTAATTGAACTCTGGTGCATAGTTTTCTCATTTATCATACCACATCTTATTTTCATAATAATCACTATTCAAGGGCAATAACTTTTATAGAAGTGAACTTACCATTTAGGCTTTGTTGACGTCTGTAAATCTATTTTTGTTGATAATTTCTTTTGTTTATAGTTTCCCTTTATCTTTAATGTTCTTGCCCTACACATAAAAGGGTAAACATTATCATTTAATGACAATAACTACTATTACATAATGAGTAGGCAACTGACAATTTTAGATCATTTGTATTATCAATATTCTATGAAAATGAGGTCACAGTAATATTAAACTTGGCAGACAGACATCTTCTTATTTTTATATGACACCTTGCAGTCATTCCATACACCAACAAGTAGACATATGCTTATAATATCTGATAAAATGAATAAAATGCTGGGCGCAGCTTGATACAACCACAGAGGTCGAACCCTGAACAGTTGGGGCAAGTATGGACATAACATTCAAGCTTGATACAGCACTGAATTTGGATTGTGATTAAATATTTCGACACAGCATAGGTTTCTGACACAGAATGAATGTGGTCTAAGAACTTAGAAATTTTTAATTTACCTATTCAAACCATATCATTATTATTTGCTTTTATATATAAATCAGAAATAACCAATTTAAAATGGAAAATTTTAAAGAAAAAAAAAGGAAAAAAAGGGAAAAAAATCCCCCCCCCCCAAGAATTTTTTGAACCCCTTATGATTCATCACCCCAAACTCAATCCCAGCCTTCCCTTTGTGGTATGGTACCTTGCAGTACAATTTCAGAGAGATCCGTACACTTATACACAAGTTATTGTCTGGAAACTAGAAAAATGCTTGTTTTTTTGGCCCCTTTTTGGCCCCAAATTCCTAAACGTTTAAGGCAATTACCCCCAAACTCAAACCCATCTTTCCCTTTGTGATATGGAACCTTGTAGTACAATTTCATAAAGATCTATACACTTACACACAAGTTATTGTCCTGAAACTAGAAAAATGCTTGTTTTTTGCCCCTTTTCGGCCCCTTATTCCTGAAATTTTGAGGCAATAACCCCCAAAATCATTCCAAGCCTTTCCTTTGTGGTATGGTACCTTGCAGTACAATTTCAGAGAGATCCATACACTTGAACACAAGTTATTGTCTGGAAACTAGAAAAATGCTTATTTTTGGCCCCTTTTTGCTAAACATTTTGGGCAATTACCCCCAAACTCAATTCCAGCTTTCCCTTTGTGATATGGAACCTTGTAGTACAATTTCAGAAAGATCCATACACTTACACACAAGTTATTGTCATGAAACTAGAAAAATGCTTGTTTTTTGCCCCTTTTTTGGCCCCTAATTCCTAAAATCTTAAAGCAATTGCCCCCAAAATCAATCCCAGTCTTCCCTTTGTGGTATGGTACCTTGCAGTACAATTTCAGAGAGATCCTTACACTTGAACACAAGTTATTGTCTGGAAACTAGAAAAATGCTTAATTTTGGCCCCTTTTTGGCCCCTTATTCCTAAACGTTTTGGGCAATTACCCCCAAACTCAATTCCAGCTTTCCCTTTGTGATATGGAACCTTGTAGTACAATTTCAGAAAGATCCATACACTTACACACAAGTTATTGTCATGAAACTAGAAAAATGCTTGTTTTTTGCCCCTTTTTTTGCCCCTAATTCCTAATATTTTGAGGCAATTACCCCCAAAATCAATCTTAGCATTCCCTGTGTGATATGGAACCTTGTGGTACAATGTCAGAGGGATCCATACACTAACACAAAAGTTATGTCTGGAAGTTACTAAAATGCTTATTTTTGGCCCCTTTTTGGCCCCTAATTCCTTAACTGTTGGTACCATAACCCCCAAAATCAATCCTTATGGTAAAATTTCATAGAGATCCATTCACTTAAACTAAAGTTAGAGTGCGAAAACCAATGTGTCTTCGGACGACGACAACGCCAACCTCATACCAATATATGACCGCAAAAAGCGGTCGTATAAAAAAACAAGAAAACTTAGCATTGACCAAAGAACCATAAAATGCGATCATGGTTATATGAATCTGCCAGACAGACATGCACACCTTACAATCGTTACATTCGCCAAATATAATTTACCTGTTGCTTAAAGCATATGATAAACTGACAAAACAATGCAAACTTTTCATTGACCAATGAACCATGAAAATGAGGTCAAGGTCATATAAAACATGCCAGACAGACATGTGCATCTCACAATCATTCCATTCACCAAATATAGGGGCCTTATTCATGCTATTGCTTACAGTATCCGAAAAAAAACCACAAAAACTAAACATTGACCAATGTACTATGAAAATAAAGTCAAGGTAAGATGAAACTTCTCAGTCAGACATATGCACCTTACAATCATTCCATACACCAAATATAGTTGACCTATTGCTAATTTGAAAATAAGAAAATAGAAAAACTGACCAAAAAACAATAAAATAACATTGAGCAATGAACCATAAAAATGAGGTCAAGGTCGAATAAAACATGCCAGACTAACATGTACATTCTAAAAATTTTCATACACCAAATCTACTTGACATGTTGCATACAGTATTAGAAAAACTGGACATTTTTACCTAGGAATAGTGATGTCATGGACTAGGAAAATTAGTCTGGGGACATAAATTACTGACATCGGACTAAATATACTAGTAAATTCTGTATCCATGGACTTTTTATACTAGTTATATTTGTCTGACCAGACAATTTATCTCTTACACTAGTTCTCAGAGAGACATGTCACCTTACCTTGACACATTATTCTGACTCTGAACAAACCAGTATTTGCTCTTACTCCTTAATAATACTGCGTGCTTAGGGGAGAAGCAGCAAATACCAACTTTAAAGTCTTTGGTTTTACCCGGTTGGGTTCAAAATAAACAACCTTCTGCACGTGAGGTGAACACGCTACCACGAGACCAGGCAGTATAATATAAGGAGTTTACCCAAGATTTAAAGTTTCCAAGTTTTTGCAAAAACTGGATCAAAATCATCATTGAAAAGCAATAACTTTTTAATATGACTTAAGTTTCTCTTTAATTATTAAAGTTTTCAAGATAAAAAGGCAAATTCAAGAAATATGAAGAAAAAAAAATGGTTAAAATCTGTATTTAAGACAACAACTCCTATGAGTCAGCTGCCAGTTTTGATGCAAATGGACAGTAGATTTTTTTTTCAACATTCTGAACATTTCTACCCATGTCAGATATTGTCTATCTATTTTAGCCTTTTGTAGCTTATTACGCAGTTTGGCTTTTTAGCCAATTGTTGAAATCTGTACGGTGACCTATATAGTTGTTAACTTCTACGTTTTTAGTTTCTGTTGAAGAGCCGTCACATTGGCAATGATACCATATTTGTATATGTTTTTGTCATGTAGGTGTAAGGAGACAACCTTTTGATTTTCTGGTGGGATAAAAAGGGGAGACAGATTTTTTATCACCTGGCCTGGTAAGTTTTTCAGGGTTCGTAAGGATAGAAAACCCGGCAAATTGTAACAAACCCCTGTGGTACGACCATATTTGCCAAAAGATTAGTTCGAATAATTATGACGTCTTGCAAGGCTATTTTAACTTTTTTCTGGGCACGTAATAGTCAAAGTTGTAACTGAGTGCGGAAATATGAAGATAGATAGATAGAAAAATTATAAAGGGACATAACTGAAGAACAGTAAAAGTGACGCTACCCAAATTTGAACTTGATCTGAGTTTTGTGGTAATAAGCATTGTGTGTAAGTCTCATAACATTTGGTTGAGGCTAACTTAAGTAGAGAACAGAAACTAAAAATTCAGCAATTTTTCTATTTGTAAACAGGCATAACTCTAGAACGGTTGTGTACAAGTTTTATAACATTTGGTTGAGACAAACTAAAGTTAGAGAACGGAAACGAAAAATTCAGCAGTTTTTATGTTTATAAAGGGACATTACTCAAGAATGGTAAAAGTGTCGCCACCAAATTTCGTACTTAATCTGTATTATGTAGTAATAAGCATTGTGTACAAGTTTCATAACATTTGGTCGAGGCAAACTAAAGTTAGAAAACGGAAACAAAAAATTTGTACTTGATCTTAGTTTTGTGGTAATGAATATTTGGGTATAGGTTTCATAATGTTTGGTTGGGGCAAACTTAAGTTACAGAATGGAAACTAAAAATTTGCAATCTTTCAATTTATTAAGGGGCATAACTCAATAATGGTTAAAGTGACACTACCCAAATTCAACTTGATCTGTGTTTTATCAGTGGAAGTCAAAATTAAACATTGCATTGTATAAAGCATTGATTGTAGTTGATTCAACTCTAATTATGGACAAAGGAAGATAATTCCAATTTTAAAAATTACTTGATATTTAGAAGAAAATAAAAATTTTGCAATTTTTCCATTTATAAAGGAGCATAACTCTAGAACGGTTAAAGTGACGCCACCAAAATTCAAACTTGATCTGTGTTTTGTGGTAATAAGTATTGTGTATAAGTTTTATAACATTTGGTTGAGGCAAACTTAAGTTAGAGAACGGAAACTAAAAATTTTGCAATTTTTCCATTTATAAAGGGGCATAACTCTAGAATGGTTAAAGTGACGCCACCAAAATTCAAACTTGATCTGTGTTTTGTGGTAATAAGCATTGTGTATAAGTTTTTACTTTAACATTTGGTTGAGGCAAACTCAAGTTAGAGAACGGAAACCAATTTTGGGACGTACGGACGTATATGTACGTACAGACGGACAAGGGTAAAACTTAATGCCCCCACCGCTACGGCGGGGGCATAAAAAAAAATAAAATAGCCTTGCTAGACGTCATAATTATTTGGACTACCAAAAGATGTAACCTAATTCTTACTTGTTTGGGGAAGAGGGGATTAACCGAACCACTATTCAATCTAAATCAGTGAACTGAATTATTGTCTTTTGCAGTAGTCCGAGTAGACATCTGTAACTAATCATGCAAATTGATAGTCAACAGTATACCTTTTTCAGAATGTCAGTTCACAAAGAATCACTGGTGATAGGGGAGTGTAACCGATAAATTGATCCTGAATCAGATAAGATTTTCCAAGGACGTATAACTAACACAATACGTCCTTGGATTTTCCCAGTAACGGAGAACCCCTTTCTTTGAGTGAATATAAATAGTGACGGGGGTCTCACAAATAAATTTAAATCTGAATTACAGGAACATCGATTAGCAAAGTAAACTTACATAATAATCTCGAAGTTATTTACGGTAAAGACAGACTGTGCTCCTGAATTAAGGTATTATACATTTGTGTATTTTACTCGGGGGGGGGGGGGGGGGCACTTCCTATATACAAGGTGATAGGACGTGCCGCTGGAATAGGTCACTTTTTCCAGCTTAAAAATATGGGAATAGGTGGGAAAAACTATCAGAAATATATGATAAGGTCGATAAAGTTCCAATTACTTGTATATGAAAAGCCCTGTCATTTTTTCACAGCCAAAAGTCTCACCGTAAGTAAACATTACATACAGAATCTTAGCCTTAAATATTCCACTTTTCCAACACACCCCACGAAAACCAACCAATATGGGAAAAGGTTACAATTTTACCCACGCAATATATGAAAAGGTATACATTTTTAAGATCTAAATTATATGAATAGGGTGGGGTAACAGAACCCCAGCGACACCCCTATCAATTAAGTATTGAAGTGCCCCTCCCCCCGGAGGTATTTTACTGCTACAAGATATTTGATTTGCTAATCACGCACCCGTTGATGAGCAGATAACCATACTTTCTAGCCAGGGGCAGTCTATACTAACAGTTAGTATAGAAAGTCCCTGTAAAAAGGCAGGCAAATCCTAACAGTACTGTAACTTCAGTGGCGGATCCAGAACTTTTTGTAAGGGGGGCCCGCTGACTGACCTAGGGGGGGCCCGCTCCAGTCACGCTTCAGTGATTCCCTATATAATCAACCAATTTTTTCCCACGAAAGGGCCCCCCCCCCCCCCCCCCCTGGATCCGCCTATGAACTTAATGATACATGTATATCAAGTTACAGCACCTCACCCAGCACAGTTAGCACACTGGTGTGTGTCAGTCTTATAAAACTGCGTAGGTTCATATCGTTTGATTCAACGTTTTTTCGGATATTTTTTAGGACCGTTGTCAACTTGACATTGTCAAATCCGACCTGCCACTTTGCAACCTGACCTGCAAAAACATAATTCGACTAAAAACAATGCCAGTCAAAATTGCTTTTTGAGACTGGGCGACTGAAACAGTTTTAAAATGTGACCTTGTGACCTTACTTGGAATTCTTCATTCATCGGCGTGTGTCGGTTTGGCTAAAAAAGGGGGCATTGTTTTTTTTTCTTGGGACAAAAAATTGTTTCTATCTTTATTAAAAAAAAGACCAATCATAAACTTTTTTTTCAAAACTCAGTGTCGTATTTTATTGTTTTCCCAACAATTTTTAATAAAAGCTTAAAATGTTTGTTTCACTTCCCTCTGACTTCCCTCCTGATTTTTTTTCTCAAGAAATTATAGAATCAATAAATGGATATATATATGTCTGTGGTCACCGTCATGCAGTTAGATAAGAAATTCCAGCATGCATCATCAAATAATTCATTTGTATTTGTGACATCAACATAACTGAAACATTATATTATTTCCCAGTAATTATGTAAATCATTTTGATTTACAATTATATATGTCTGGGACTTATGCATGTATATATCTCACAGGCACTTGTCTCAGAAAAAAAAGTCCTATATACTTTAATAAAAGTATATAGGAAAAAAATTGTGAGACAAGTGCCTGTGATATATCTGTCAGTCCCAGAAAAATAAATATAATTGTATCTTAATCATTGGAAAAATCCGTTATTAAATTGTTAAATTCTTTTACGTCATAATTATATCAAAGTATACTTTTTAAAGTTTTAAATTTTAAAGTTAAAATGAATATTCCGTTTTGATCTGAGGAAAAACTTTTCAAACTGTAATGACATGGTCAGTCAACTGATTTGTTGCATGGCTGATTACAGGTAATTAAAGCATGCAGTAATTTTCCATTACGACAGTGCGTGTACCCTGGGGTGTGTATAACGTATTAGAAATACCATAGTTTTCTAGAGAACATCCTGTCTATGTGTAATACAGATTGATGACATTACACAAATTTTTTTTCGTTAAATGTAGTTAAGTATCTGTGTCCATTCCCTATTGCAACACTACAATTCTTTCGAAGAAAAAAATGTAAAAATTAAAAAAAAAAAAATCATTTATATAAAATAAAGAAGAATAAAGTAGCAAATAAACTTATGTAACTACGCATTGAGTAAACATAATTTCACTTTACATGTACAAACCCTTGAGAAAACGTATATATAGATTGTTTAAAAAGGCCAATTCCCAGTGGATTTATTTCACACTAGGACCACAGGCACTTGTCTCAGAATTTTGTTTCCTATATACCTTAATACAGGGACTTTCTATACTAACTTAGTATAGAAAGTCCCTGCTTAATATAACATTAAAAGTATATAGGAAATTTATTTTCTGAGACAAGTGCCTGTGACTAGGAACTAAGATAACTAGAACTAAGTTCATTGGAAAGTCTTTTTGTCTGATACATGTATACCTATAGATAATGTACATAATTAAGAACAGCTTCAAATATATGCCTATAAATTAACGGTACGTCTAAAAACCGCTCAGGACCTCCTGAGTGCAGACAGGACATAAAAAGTCACTCAGGACATGTATATATGTTTTAGTGAGCGTTGAGGGTATACATTCGATAGATAATTTAATATTTGATCTTATAATTTTGGTTTTGATAAAATCAAACCAACATTAAAGAAGTTATTTGGGATACGTCATGCATGACCGATGCTCATATTCAATACCAATCATCATTTTGATTACGACGTTTGATCTTTAATAATTAGGACTGATTGGTGATGGTTATAAACACATACAAGTAAACTTTGCAAACAAACAAAAAAAAAACGTTTCCTTGGAAAAAATATAAAAATACATGAATATTGTTTTTACAAAAAAAGTTAAATAAATTTTTCGTTTTGTATGTAATTATTGAAGCCATTTAGAAATATAAGAAATCTTCACATAGTCGGGAAATTTTCAATTCAAGTTATTTCATTTGAAAACGTTAACAAATATAGATCTTATTCGATGTAAAATGTCACGTCCTTGGAGATCAAAACCCCGTTTAAATAGGGTTTGTCTACTTTCGTCTATTGCCGAACATTCTATAATCAAGGATTTTTACAAATCCTTGCTATAATATAATGAATCGCGTCGCCAATATCACCGCAATTACATAAAGTACAAATACAATCTTCTCCTAAATATTTGGCATCTAACAATTACAATAGGAAATTTTGAGTCGAAACTGAAGTACCAAATCTACAAAAAAAATCACTATTTTTTGTAGTAGTAGGCGTTTAAAACTAAACTGTTTATAATCTTTTTTTTTTCTCCTAAATTAATTGAAACTTCTAAAATAATTTAACATTATCTATAGACAGCTTACATATGCAAATCTTTTTAGAAGTATGTGAGTGTATAGTAATAATTTGTTCATTAACCCCCCTTTTTCCTTCTATAAAATTACATTGTAATCGATTTTATTTCCAAATTTGTGTTTGCTAGGATTGACACTTAGAACGTACAACAAAAAGTAACAAGTAAAAAGTCACGATTCAGTTTTGGGATATTTTTTTCTTTGAATAAACTTAATTTTAAAAACGTTTCAGTATTTTTCTGAAACATTTTTAAAAGGAAACGGCTTGTAAACAAAATTTATTTTTAAATATTAATATGAACAATGATTGTTAAGAAAACAATCTGCCAAAGTGGTTTGGTAATTAACTGAAGTCATGCTGTCAATATGTCTCCTTTTTATAAGTTATTGATAAAAAAAACTATTTGAAGGCGAATTAATCATTTCCTCAACTAAATACATTTATCTATAAATAAAGTCAATTCGTCAAGAACTTTCTCTCATATATTTAAACAATTGTAAAATAAATAATTTAAACCTTTGTCCTGCGACTTTCTGTCCGTTTACCAATACTTATTCCTTGTTAAGTTTTTTTCATATCAATTTACGAATACTTATAACGTGATTATTAATTTTTCCGGATGCTTTTTATCCTATTTTAATATCAAACAACCATGTTACCCGTAGAACGGAGTTAAGTACAAATTTAGGAATTTAGTACTTAAAATTTTCAACAACAAAATTTTTACACTTTCATTTACCTGGATTTTTTTCTACGCTTCGAAAGCCGTCACCCTGTATCAAACTTATCCAACACCTCGCATGGCGTATTCACGATGTGGAGAGATTGACAATATACAATCAAAGTTAGCAATATACAGCAAGTAAGTAATTGGGTGTTGAATGCCAGTAGATCTGAATTTGTAAATTTTTAAATGAATTTAACCTGTTTAGAAGTGTATTGTTGAATTGTTCAATAAAATTACACACATAATCTGGGCTGATATGCATAAAACCACTTTAAGTTCAAGGTATCAATAAAACTGGGTCTGCATGAAAAAATGACTTATCACATAATACCAGAACCTATGTTTAGCCTACTGTTACACGATAAGAAAATATAGCTGTAGGCCTAGTTGAAAATCTTTACAAATTATTTATTCTTTTAATTTCTGTTTGACTGTCTGGGTGCTTCTATGTGTTTTAATGCTATTGTCAAGTTTTATAGACTGTTGTACGTCATTTGGTCGTTTTTAAGTTTTTGCCATGGCGTTTGTCAGTATGTCTTCGACTTATAAGTTTTATCAAGGATTTGTATAGTGAGATTGGTTTTATATAATCTGCATCTCTTGTGCTGTATTTTAAAATGTATTACAATTGCTGCATCTTTACACATTCATCAATACACCAAAAATATGAATAAAGCTTTCGTATATATATAAATAAGGAGATGTGGTACGATTGGTAATGAAACAACTATCCGCCAGTTCAATCAAAAACCTGATATAAGCAAATGTGACTTACTTAATTACTTTAGTCAGAGAGATCTTGAATCTGAATTCAAGAATACGAAGTGGGAAGGGTTTAGAGGTGGATTAAGGTGAGTGCATGGGGCCCGCCCCTTTTTTGGAAAAAAATTGGTTGATTATTTAGAGAATCACTGAAGCGGGCCCCCTCTTTATGCATGACAGTTAGTGCCTCCTTATGACATTTTTTGGATCCGCAACTGGTGAGGACTTCATATAAAAATATTTAGTAAGTTTTTGTTTTGTGATAAATAATGTATTTAGACAGAAATAGGAT